CTCTCTCTCTCTCTCTCTCTCTCTCTCTCTCTCTCTCTGATAGAATCTTTTTCTGTATTCCATGGTAGATTCAAACTTGGTATGTAGCCCACCCTGAGCCTTTGACCCTCCTACATTAGCTCCCTGAATGATTTTAGGTTTGAGCTACCATGCTAGACTGTTGTCACATGCTTCAACAAAGTGATATATTCTTTTGTAAAGTGACCCTTCACATAGTTTTCGACCCTCTAAAAATTCATAAGGGTCTGCAAAAATGTGGAAGTGTGAGGCTGCAGACTCTTGACAGAAATGAGTGATGAGAAACCCTGAACGCAAAGGCTGGCAGCCTGCTCTCCCCGACTGGCCGGGATGCTCTCCGTGTGCGTGCCACTCACAGCTGAGGACAGGAGCCTGCGACCAGCTGTGTGCCCCTTAAATCTCTCCTTGTCCATCCAGGCAGTGTCCTCCTCCCTGATAAAGGCCTGTCCTCTGAGGATGCTGGGAATAAATGGTCTCTGATCACAAGGCTACCTTTGGTGTTTATAGGAAGAATCCTGGAACTCTCTAGGACTTTCTTCCTACAGGCAGGTTTGGATCACACAGCTTTGGAAAGGGGGAAACTCCATGTTGCTGGAGGAGCCCGGGGGTCTGTGGAACCCGGAGCCTCTATGGCTAAGCAGGAGAGGCCCTGCCGCCCTGCACACAAGGCAGGGCAGAGCTCCAGCTCCAGGCAGCCAGCCTAGAGTCTCTCCTCGCTGGCTCTTGTCTATTCCGTTCCTAGGACTGTTGCCCATACCTGTGCCTGACACTGAACCAGCAGTTGCTGGTTGGCCATGTAGTCAGGCCAGGAGCCAGAGCTCTAGCTGATAGTGAAGAGACAGGCCCTGTTCTCAAGGGGGCAGCCCTGTGTGGTGAGGAACTCCGCCCCCACCTCTTCCTGAACAGTTGTCTACAGTTGGTAAGTGTTCAGTTCTTTGACGCTGTTGCTTCCCAAGGTAGTCCTGTGGAATCCCCAAGACCTGGCACCAGTCCCCGTGACCGGACAAGGGGGCTAAGTCTCCTGAACTCCTTCCCCTCCCGCTTCCCCTTCCTTCCTTCTCAACAGTGAGTATGCAAGCACGGGCTCTTGCCCGTCTTCACCAGACAGTGACGCACTGAACGGAGCAGACATGAGAGTGTCCATGTCAGGGCAGTCCCCAGCTGCAGTTCCCCACCTGTTTCCTCTGGCAGCTAGACAGCTGGTGCTTAGACGCAGGTTCAAATCCCCGCTCTCCCCGTGACCAACCAGGGAGCTTGCTTGATCCCTTGAAGACTATCATCATCTGTTGCTATGACACAACACCCGAGGCTGGGAATATTTATTAAGAAAGGAGTTTATTCTGGCAACGGTTCTGGCAGATAAGAAATCCACAACTGGGCAGCCACATTTAAAGAGGCTCTCGAATTGACTCATCCGTGGCGGGGAAACCAGGGCAAGTAGGTAAAACATGGGCCAACCTGTTCTCACGGTAACTTCCAGTCCTCAGACAGTGTGGACTCACTCCTGCGGGGTCCTCGAAGTCCTGTCGACTGTGAGTGCCCTTGCGGCCCAGCCCTCCTAGGGCTGCCGCCTCTCACTGTTGCTACAATGACACTTGGATCTCAGCATGACCTTCGAGGGGCCCCACATACTCGCCCCACGGCTCCATGTCCTTATCTGTGAAATGGGTATTGGTCTCAACCTGAGAGGGCCAAGGGTGTCACTCATGACAAGTGACTTCAGTTTTTATTCCATCCCGGTGGCCACTTGTCCAGCCTGTGCTGTGGACTCAGGTTTTCTCCCTCTTGTAAGAGGGTCTCTTCTCAGAGGTCATTAGACTGGACATCTGAGTTCCAGGAGGAAAAAAAAAAGTGTGCTTAGTGATGGTTGGCTCCAAGGCTGTTCCTCCAAAACCTATTTTTGGGCTAGCCTGATACCTTGTCTCCCTTGGGGCCACGCTGTCCCCACAATGGACAGGTTACTTCTTGCTGTCTGCAGTACCCTGAAAACCCTTCAGTTTAGTCAGAGGGCTAGCTATGTGTTAGACATCTAAAGCTCTGGGTATATTTTGGGGGTTCCCTCATGTCTCTAGTGCTTTCCAGACCACATTACATTACTGTCCAAGATCTTTTCTTTGTGGTGGCCCCCTCCCCCAAACACCCAATCTGAGTAAGAAACCCAGGCTAGCAAAGAGTTCCTGGCACACAGCTTTCCTCCCAGGGATCCTGTGTCCACCCAGTCTGTGATGTCGTGGTGAATGCCTTCAATCCCAGTACTAGTGAGGTAGATGCAGGTGGGTCTCTGTGAGTTCAAGTTCAACCTGGTGTACATAGTCAATTTCTGGGCAGTCAGGGCTTGATATAGAGAGCCTGTCTCAAGAAAAAAAAAAAAAAGGCAAAAGTCCAGTTTGTGCATTAGCCTGATCTGGGTTCCCGTACAGAGTGTCTACAAGGAAGAAGTTAGGGACAGCTGGAAATGTCCCCTGGCCTCAACTCAGTGAAATGAGTCAGTGTGCCTCAGAAGGTAAGACCAGCCACTGGAAAGGGCCTGAGGTGAAAAAGCTTCTGGACTTGAGCTTCAGGAAGAATATAGCCATAGAGGAAGCCCAGGGTGGGAAGAGAAAGGGGGCGGGTGGAGAGAAACTTGCCCATGAGCCATCACAGGGCATCGAGATTTTTATCAGAAGGACACCACTTCGTGCTTAGTTTATTGTTTTAAAGGACAATAAACTTTTCAGGGTGAGTGACAAAAGCCAAACCACAGGAGCAGAAAAGTCCCAAGAGCAGATTTCAGGGGGAAGCTGGGTATGCTGGGGACAGGGAGCAGTTGAGCAGGCACCCAGACAACACTCCTAGGTACTGTTGGGGAGACCCAGGAGGAGGGAGCTGAGGAGTCAAGGTTCCTCTTTCTTCTGGTGTCATCCAAGTCTAGGCAGAGAATTCTAGGGAAGGCTGCAGGTCTTTGGGCATTGGCTCTCCTGTCATCTGAGCATCACAGGAGTTAACAGTGGCCTGGGTTAAGTCTGGGGACACTTTGTCATCGATGGCGATAGTGTAGGTTATGGCTATGGGCAAGGCGGGCCTCTAAGGTTCAGCCTTGGGCTCTGCCAGTTGCCAGCTACACAGTCTTACTCTTGCAACTAGTTTCCTGATTGAATTCAGACCTAGCAAAAGGCTGAAGGGTGATGGGGATGACAGGTGCAGCCCAGCAGGCCATCTCCACAGCCACCACCAGCTGCCTTTTAAGAGCCTTTGACCTCCCCGAGCCCTCCTGCAGTCTAGACCTGCCTGTGCTTCCTAGGAACAGCCCTGAAAGCTAAGCTGGGCTCTGGGCCATGGCTCACAGGAATGTTCCAGAGTTGGAATCCATCCTCTCAATTCTGACTCCAATTCCCTGCATCCAGGTGGCCTGGCTGTCTCTGTGGTGAGGGGTAAGGTTAATGCTGTGGACATTCTAAGCCAGCTTGAGGCAAGTTTCAGCTGTGAGTCACCATCTCCATGTCATGTGAACAGCCTTCAGCACACATTTCCCTGCCTTGATGGACTGAAACCCTGTGAGACCACAAGCTGAATTCATCTTTCCTTCTCAACATTGTTTCAGTTAGACTGTGGTCACAGTGCTGTGGGAATTAAAAAGGAGGTGGATTTGGTGTGTGTGTTTGTGTGTGTATGTGTGTGTGTGGTGTGTGTGTGTGTGTGTGTGTGTGGGTGGGGGTGGGGTGTGTGTGTGGTGTGTGTGTGTGTGTGTGTGTGTGGGTGGGGGTGGGGTGTGTGTGTGGTGTGTGTGTGTGTGTGTGTGTGTGGGTGGGGGTGGGGTGTGTGTGTGGTGTGTGTGTGTGTGTGTGTGTGTGGTGTGTGTGTGTGTGTGGGTGGTATGTGTAGTGTGTGTGTGTATGTGGTGTGTGTGGTGTGTGTGTGTGTGTGTGGGTGTGGGGTGTGTGTGTGTGTGTGTGTGTGTGTGTGTGTGTTGCACATGGAGGCCAGGGGAAGATGTCAGGTATCCTCTGTCTCTTTTTATCTTACTCCCTTGGGACAGGGACTCTCACTGGGTCTGGAACTAGGCTGGCAACCAGCAATCCCCAGTGATCCTCCTGTCTCCACCCCCACAGCTCTGGGTTATAGGTGTTTATAGCCACATCCTGCTTTTTACATGGGCTCTGTGGATTTGAACCCAGCCAGGTCCTAATGTTTGTTTACCAAGTATTCTGTCTTAGGGTTTCTCTAGCTGCACTGAAACACCATGACCAGAACAAGATGGGGAGGAAGAGGGTTATATACACTCCCACATTGTAGTCTTTCACTGGAGGAAGTCAGGACAGGAATGCAAACAGGGCAGGGACCTGGAGGCAGGAGCTGATGCGGAGGCCGTGAGGGTGCTGCTTTCTGGCTTGGTTCTCCTGGCTTGCTCAAACTGATTTCTTATAGAGCCCAGGACCACCGGCCCAGGAATGGCACCACTCATAATGGGCTGGATCCTCCCCCATCAATCTCTAATTTAGAAAATGCGCTGTTGACTTACCTACCGCCTGGTCTTATGGAGGCATTTTCTCAGGTGAGGCTCCCTCTTCTCAGATGACTTTAGTTTGTGTCAAGTTGACATAGAACTATCCAGCACACACTTACACACCGAGCTATTGCCCCAGCCTTTGACTTCTTCTTCTGTAATGGGCAGCAGGGATGGCACCAAGAGGCTGGATCATCTGTGGTTGTTTTCTGTTTGTTTGTGTTTCTGATCTCTCTGGCTGGCACTGAGGACACGGCTAAGGCAGCCAGAGTCACTTTCCTTGAAGGAGGGTGCTCTGCGATTCAGGGAGACCAAGGCCTAGAACATGTATATGGGACAGTTGCCTGGCAGGGAAATCTACTAGGACCTTTGAGACACTTGTG